AACACAGGATGAAACAAATAAGCTCCAGTTTTGATACCCCTTGTCTTCTTTACTCCATATATTTACTCGCAGGAAGTTATGCGTCTTCGTGCATTCTTTCACATGCGTTGTGCTGGGTCGAGATCTGTTTCATCCATCCCAGAGTAGCTGCGGCTCTGATTTCAAAAGGCAGCACAAGTCCAAATCGAAACTCTATTTCTCACTAGATATAAGAAGTAGGGGCAATGGAATGCAACCCGTACAGTGGCACATCGGTAAAAGCAATCATCTTCCTGCAAGGCTGTTGATGAATTACCTTTACTAAGGTCACCTGATATCCCAGTTAACAAAAAAACGAATACACTGTGTTAGAGCCATACAAAAGGAGCTGCACCAGGAACAAGCTTCAAAGCAAACTAACTCTTTGATAGTATCCAATGAAGAGCTTTTCTTGCATTGGACGAACATACTCATCCAAAAAGTATAGCCATTCACGCTCAAAATTGATTTGATTCATGTGAATGTCAACTGTTGGCACATTTTCGTAACCACCGACCAAACGATCATCCTGCAAAATAAAAGTAATTTTTGCTTGCTCAAACAGAATTTGGGGCTGAAGCAAAAGGTTAATCGCATAGATGAGATAAAACGATACACAAGTGAGATGTCGTTCTAAAGCAAAAATTCGCTGATGCGTCTGCTATCACTCACCATTTTTATGCGTTTTTGCTATGCAGCGCTATACCACTGCTACAGTAGGCAAAACGTATACTGTCGACAAATCGTCCATATGTGAGTGTGTGCATGTTCGGAAGCGAGTGAACTTTGCATGTTCGGAAGCGAGTGAAAAATTTCAGCCTCCCAGCTTTCCTGGTTGCTCACTTTCAACTCAGCAACCAGGAAAGCTGGGAGGCTGAAATTTTGAAGGCATATTCCCATCCCGTGTGTCATCCCACCGTTTTAAAATCATCGCTCATATGCGCCCTAGATCTCACGTACAGACTCCCGGAAAGAATATGCAAATTTTTTTGGTGGGAAACGATTTCGTGAACTAGATAAGCTAAAATGCTGAAACTTTACAGAAATATTCTTGGCACATGTATGAGCCAAAGACTTCAAACTCAGGTACCACGTACAATTCTACCTCGCGCACGGTCACGTCAAAGTTCGCAGTGCGAAAACTAGCCGAAAAACAGTAGCTGGAACCTTTCCAGATATTTGTCGTCCATATAGAAAATCGAATACCTAAACTGAGTTTTGACTTGCACTCGCGCCACGAATTATGGTGCTTCAAAGATATCTATAAGGAAATGGCTACTTTTTTTTTCGTTCACCGGAAAAACTGTGAAACTGACACTTTACAAAGATAGGATATTTTAATGTATTTAAGAACAGCATTTCACTTGTATATCGCCTTATTGTACCTATTAATGTATGTTCTTAATTCAGCTTAGAGACAAAATCCCCTAACGCGCGCACTTGTCAAATATTCAATTTCATCGCACATTCAAAAGCGACTGCATTTTGCGGATTTCGTAATCCCCTTGCGACGGTCGGCTCGGTTCAGCCGTTACTTTAGCTCGCTGATGCAGCTTGGCACTTTGCCAGTACTGCTGGGTAGTGCTGCCCAGCGCGGTACAGCTGAAATGCGTGGCTGGGGAGTGCTGGAGGAACGGGGCAGAGTGACTGGAGGTAGTGGTGGGTGGGTGCGCAGATGCATCTCCCGGGATACGGATCGGGACAAGATGAAGGAGAGGAACAAGGGCGCTAGTGAGGAAGCTGATGCTTAATTAAAGCTGAGAGCTCTCAGTTTTAATTACGCAGCTTTACCTTATTGGCTCCCAGCTTTACCTAAGCATCGGCTTCACGAATGGGCTTTGCCCCTTTTCTCGAATTCGCCGCGAAATCCGCACACACCACTTTCCTGACAGCCACCTTAACCCCCTCCCCATGTCTTGAAACCCACACCCAAAAAATTTACTCATACACTGTCAACTCTCCTCCCCCGCCTCCTGTACTCAGTCTACTCCCTCTCAAGCCCTTTCCGTACCTCACATATCCGCAGAAAAAACCAGCAACACGGATCCTCCTCTGTCCCACTTATCACCCCATCGCCTTTTCCCTCACGTGGCCTAGAAAACCGCCTAAGGATCCACGCCACGTAACCACTCAATCCACCATACCAACTCCCACCACCTACCGCCAATCTCCGCGTCTTGAACTCGCACATCGAATCCCACCACCACCCTACCTGCGGCACCCAACGTCGCAGTGGGGTAAGAATATCTGAAAAGACCGTTAGCAGACCGTTATGACGGTGGCCGAGCCGAGTTTTTGTAGTTATCTCCTGCGGCTTCCTCCAAATTCGAACTTTTTATCCTGCGATAGGAGGTCATTACACCAGCATCCCATGTTATCACTACAATTCAGAAGTCGTAGGATTGCTAAAGATAATATTCCTGCTAGCATGTGAAGACGAAATAATTAGCCAACGCACGGGCTGTCTGTGCGATGATGCGTTTTTTGCATAGTTCCGCGCAGCTTTTGTCGCTA